TATTATTTTACTGTTTATTAATGTTTTTACTCAACATTTGTGCCGTTTTTGGAGGATTTATGATGTCTTTTAAATATCTATAAATTAATAAATAAATATTTATTTATCATTGGACTCAAAATAGACAAAATTCATCATCAAAATCAGAAATAACGCAGAACACAGACAGAAATGACCGAAATGAAGTGGCACACTTCCAACAATGCAAAAAACACCCACAATCCAAAATTATCATGCTCACACACACACACACACACACACACACACACATATAGAGGAATACAATATACAGGAAGACATACAGACTATAAAAACTGTTCACTTATCATTTGTAAAATAAAATACTCTAAAATGCAGAACCACTGCAAAAATAAATTGGTAAAACTAAGACACATTGAAAATGTGCACACCACACACACACACACACACACACACAGAGAAATATATTTGTAAGGCTATAAAAAGGATAAGAGATGAGACCAACTATTGTTCCATTGTTCCAAACTATTGTTCCTAGTTGTTCGATTTTTCTTCCCAATTTCCTTTTTTTTTTTTTTTTTTTTACAAATATTTTATTTTTACTGCTTTATTTGCTAATTTGTTATTGCTGTTCATTTGAAATAAATGATCAAATCTTAAGACTCCAACATTTCTCTTTGTAACATGTTCAGGTTTGATTCTGATCATAATGTAACATTATTGAAAAACTGTTTTTCCTGTACAAAAACAAATGCTAAACTTTGACAAAAATTATTTTATTTTTGTTATAATTGTGATTTTACAATATTTAGATATGAATCGAACTTTAGAAACTATCTTTCAGTAATTCAAATAGTTTATAGGCCTAGTGGAGCTCTATAACCATCTAGTGGAGCTCTATAGCTATCTAGTGGATAAAGTGACTTATTACAAATTTTAACCTGTTTTTTCCAAAAATTAGGCAAAAATCTTACATTCAACCTTGTAAAATTATCCATGGTATCCCCAGGAATAAAAGTTAGAAATCTGGGTCTTTTATAAAGTTTATTTAACATAAAATGCTGTTTTTTTTGTGAAAATCCTATTTAAATAAATATTCATTTATTTATAGAAATACACAAATGTAAAAACATTAATAAACAGAGTAAAATTATATTTGTTAAAAAAAAAAATACTATTCAGTTACAAAATTAAATAATATTGTCTGGGGTCCAATAGACCCCGAAGACCAGAATTGTTACTTTTTTTGAAGACCATCAGAGGGTTAATGCTAAATGGTTGAAAAATGTTAACAAAACACTTCTAAATCAACGTTGAAATTTTTACAAGAGCTGTACGTTGGAACAACGTAATGTTTTCAACAACATTCAACAGAAATATCTGCCTTATAAAGTATTATTATGATCATTATTAGCATTTAATGATATTCTGATAATATAGCCTTTCAATGGATATGTTAAAATATAATTATGATCATTATAGACAACTCTCAAATAATTTCAACCTCAAGAGTGCAGCAGAAACTTTTTGCTTTCTGATTTTGTATGGATTTACAATGCTGTGTGCTTCCCTAACAGTTTACCATGCTTTATTTTATTTTTTTAATCATACACTGTCATGAAAACACCATTTGACAAATTAATTAAATATACAGACTGCAAACTAAATGTACTATACACATTTCGCTACATTACCACGCTGAAACTACTGTTATTGGTTGTTTCACCGGTTTACTTTGATCATGATTGGTTAATCTTTCTGTCTTCCAGGAAACTGGCCAATGACAATGCGCGCCTATTTTAAGTTTGAAAATACGTCCGTTATGGGCTATGTGCACAACTGTAGTTTCGAACTTCCGCTTTTGTCAGAAGTCGGCGTATCAGTTTCCGGTCTACGACTGGTCATCCGCATCCACTAATAAACAAACAAGATGAGTGCTGCTGTTGTACGAAAAAAAGAGTTCTTAAACACATCTAAGTTTCTTAGAACTGCAGTGGACCTAACGTCCGTTTCACACCCGTTTGCAGTGTGTGTTGCGGTGCAGGAGCGTGCTGTTTGATTTGATGCACACACCTCATATCAAACCATATTACTGCAGCATTTTGGAGAAATGTCACATTATTCAACTTCAGAGGCCCATAAATACCTCATTTCTAATAAGTAGAAAAAAATAACGGTCAGTTCTTATACGGGACGTCCCATAGAGTACAACAACCTCATATCAATGTACTATACTGACCATGTATATCATATACTGACCATTATTTTTTTCTACTTATTAGAAATGAGGTATTTATGGCCCTCTGAAGTCGAATAATGTGACATTTCTCCAAAATGCTGCGGTAAAATGGTTTGATATGAGGTGTGTGTACTGTGTGGGACGTCCCGTATAAGAATTGGCCATTATTTTTTTTCTACTTATTAGAAATGAGGTATTTATGGCCCTCTGAAGTCGAATAATGGGACATTTATCCAAAATGCGACAGTAAAATGGTTTGATATGAGGTGTGTGTACTGTGTGGGACGTCCCGTACATGACCTGACCATTGTTTTTTTTCTACTTATTAGAAATGACGTTTTTATTTGTGTCTAAAGTAGAAAAGAGGCCTACATTTTTTAAAACGCTGCAGTAAAATGGTTAGATAATTGGTGTGCACACTCTATGGGACGTCCTGTACATGACCTGACCATTGTTTTTTTCTACTTATTAGAAATGAGGTTTTTATTGGCGTTTATAGTAGAATAATGTTCTCTCCAAAACGCTGCAGTAAAATGGTTAGATAATTGGTGTGCACACTCTATGGGACGTCCTGTACATGACCTGACCATTGTTTTTTTCTACTTATTAGAAATGAGGTTTTTATTGGCGTTTATAGTAGAATAATGTTCTCTCCAAAATGCTGCAGTAAAATGGTTAGATAATTGGTGTGCACACTCTATGGGATGTCCCGTACATGACCTGACCATTGTTTTTTTCTACTTATTAGAAATGAGGTTTTTATTGGCGTTTATAGTAGAATAATGTTCTCTCCAAAATGCTGCAGTAAAATGGTTAGATAATTGGTGTGCACACTCTATGGGACGTCCCGTACATGACCTGACCATTGTTTTTTTCTACTTATTAGAAAATAGGTTTTTATAGGTGTCTAAAGTAGAAGAGAGGCATTGGGACATGGGACATTGAATTCAAGAGAAACTGTCATTTTAATACTAAAAAACCATGAAAAAAAGAGGCATTTAAAAAGAGTGTATACTTTATTTGATCTCTTTTTGCAAATAATTATGCTGTAAACCTGTACATAAAAAATGACTTGAGGTGTTACCTGTAAAGAAAAAAACAAAACATATGTCAAAGAATTACAAATGTCAAACACGAAATGAGTGTAAATAAAAAGGAAAACAGAGTAACATGAAAACATTCTCAAAACATGGAATATATCGTCATAGATAGATAGATAGATGGAGTGATTAATTAGACAGACAGACAGACAGAGAGAGAGAGAGAGAGAGAGAGCTGGGCAACTGAACTGAAGTGCCATGAAAGCGCATTCTCTCTGCCGTTACTGAAATTACCGTATTCATAATAGGCGCACACGCTTTTTTTTAGGCGGCTGGCTTGACCACGGTCGCATACCGATTTGGTCCGTATGGGTCATTCAAACCGCATAACGTAAAAACCCTTAACGTGGCTTACTGCACTAAGACTGTGATAAAAGACCAAACTCAGTCAGTACACATCATATTATTAAACCATATTACATACAAAACCAGATGAGCCCAGAATATGAACGCAGCGCGTTTAATTACATGTTAAGCTTTTTCCTCCCATAGAAAACCGTTACAAGAACACGCTTAACGTTGCTTACTGTACTAAGACAGTGATGCATAGTATGGTTTATTAATGTGTACTGAGTTTGGTTTTTTTAATATCACTGACTATCTTAGTACAGTAAGCTACGTTAAGCGTTATAGAATGTCCCGCCAGAATCGACTGACTGAAAGCAATTGTACTGGTGTCAGGTCCATACTCGGTGTAGCTGTGTGTAGCATCGGCCCGAGTTTGTTGATCACAAGTGGTCACTAACTTCTAAAAGTAACTCAGCCTTTTTGCCAGCTAATTTAAATCCTGAGGAAGATCCTGCAGACATACCGACGTTTTCGAGAGGAATCATTCAGCTGAAATTATTGTTCTAGTACTGTTGTCTGATGTTTTAATTGTCAAGATAAAAATACTTTTAAACTTCAAATGTATACAGCATTATTGGTGATAAAGTGTTGCTGTGCAATGGTTCAATTAAGTTGCTAATTTACAAATAAAAAATTAGCAATTTGCAAGTTATAATAGCAAATCTACACACCCAATCTGTATATATCTGTATAAAATCTACACACCCAATATATGTATACACGGCAACCAAACATAGTATTATCAAAATCAAACTTTTGCTCAAAATGGCACCCCATTCATATTACCAGATTTGTCTAACCAAGACACTGTTTGTTAAGAGCCCCAAAAGTGCCTGAGAAGTCGTATAATAATAATAGTAATAATAAAAATGATTCCTTAGGAAAACAATAGGGCCTTCGCCCTTTAATGGCTTGGGTCCTAATAAAGAAGATTAAAAAACAGCCCCTAGAAAACACAATGATGACTTGTATATCTTTTTTTATAAAGGTTTCAGATGTTCAGAAACACAAGTGTTGGTGGTGGGCCGATCCGTCAGCGACGGTGCAGAGTAAGAGCACCTAGGCAAATCACTTTTAAAGTTTCTGTTCTAAAAAGCACTACCATTACCCATTATAGATCACACAGAGGTGAGTTCACATATGTGAATACTTTTTTTTTATTATTATTAATTTCTTCTCAATATTATTTATTATTGTTTCATACTTTTTGATTTGAAAGCTGATTTATGTTACAGATGCCACTCCACCCTGTCGTGTTGTTGTGCGACGTGATTCAGATGAGTTAGAATTCAGACAGGCTCTAAGAGCTGAATTTCCTGATCTTCCGGAGGATTTCGAGCTATGTAAAGTTAATAGCCAAAGACAGATCATTCCTTTGCAATTGGAAAGTTTGAGTCCCAATCAGATTCATTCAACTAATGCACTGGGGAGATCTGCCCTTTATATTCGCCCGAAGGTGAGTAAAATATTCAGTACAATACTAAAAATATTCAAACTATTGTTGTACTTCCCATTGGACTTTGCTTGTTAAATCTATATCATGTGATGAAACTTGTGTGACAAACACTTTTAGGGTAGTCAGCAAGTTTGGAATATTCATTTAAGCACAAAAATATACCTTCACTTTTACTCTCTCCTCTGTCAATGTATATGATCATGTCTGTATGATTTTTCCATTAAGTTTAATTTCCTTTGAAAAAAAAAATGTGCCAGGTTGACCATGCCTCTGCAAGTGTCCCCACTGGAAGTGGCAGCCATGCAGCCCACGGCTCTGGAAGTGTCCCCACAGTCCACACAAACACAATCCAAGTGTAAGTACACCCCAGCCATTATGACCTTCAGGCTAGGTTCATGATTATAAGTGTACATTTTTTTTAAAATGAAAGATACCATTTCAAGACATGTTTTATGTGTTGCTGAAATTCTGAAGATGTATTTTATTTTCTAAAATGTTAAAATGCCAAATATAAATATTTTTAAATTTTGTATCTATTTTTTGGCAATTAGAGAGGACTTCTACTTAGACTCATCAGAGTCTGACATTGAAGAAATAACCCTGGCTTCTCCAGTCAGGAGTAATAGTCCAATCGTATGTATATCTAACACTCACACACATTCACACTAACACACCTGAAGTCAATTTAGTGAATTTACCTCCTTGCACCATCGCTTTTGTCTCAGCCTGCCCAGTTACATCCGGTGCTGCATGCGTCAGAAGCCGTTTTTGCATTAGGTGGAGATAATGGCAAATTACACTTGCTATTTACAAGAACTTCCATTGGTTAACAAACGATGTAAATAATATTGTGAGGTAGTTAGATGTTGCAGCACATAAGAGTAAGAAAGAGAAGGGCTTTAAATTATACATTTCTCATATCATGTGAAATCCGACTAGCGATTCGGTTTCTTAAATCGTTGTTTTTTTTAATTAAATCGTTTATTTTTATTAAATCGTTTAATTTTATTAAAGTTTTGCTGCTAGTACACTTCGCTATAGAATGCACTATGCGAAAGTAAAGACGCTACCTGAGATTTCTACCGGAAATTACTTAAAACGCACACAAAAACTTCTTGCACTAGTTTATTGATTGTCAATTATTTTTTAATTGTTTATTTTCAAGTGATAATTTATTTTTATCCAATTTAATATGTTGGTGAATTTTTATTTATTTTTATTTTCAGCTTGAGCGAGAGCTAACAGCAATTCTACAGGAGTTTCGTGAGGACAACCTAGACTTGTCTTGCCACATAACTGTCATAGCAAGACAAAAGAATATTCTACAGAGTGCATGTGTGGCCCTGTCAAGAGGGTACTTTGAGTGGCACAAAAGTCCAAACATTGAGTTTGTGGGAGAAATGGCAGAGGACTATGGTGGTCCAAGGAGAGAATTTTTCAGGTACATTAGATATTACACGTATATACAGTAATGTCTACAGTGCCCTTCAAAAGTTTGAAAATGTCTAGGTTTCAAAGTGTGTTTCTGGACAATATCAGTTTAAGCCCGAACTTGTTCTTGCCGGAAATGCATTAAACAACATTAAAGAGCAGCAATAAATTAATAATAATTTTTGATTACATAATAATGTCAACATATGTGACAGTTAGACATGCCCCTTTGGCAGCTTTGACGTTAATTAAATTATTTTTGCAACACCGGCAAAGATCTTTAACACTCATTATTTTTTTAATACTTTTTTTACGCTTTTTCCAGAATGCCTGCAGTTAGACAGGCTCTGGTGAAGTTGAGTTCTGTTGACAATTATGCGTGGCTCAACTTACTGCGTTGCTCTGATTGGTTGTAGGTCTATCCAACTGAGTGCAGAGTTGTTGTTTTTTTTTTTCTGGTTCGGTTAAGACACGCCTCATAATCAAAGCCCTATAGAGCAGTATCAGACTCACATTCTGACTAGAATAGGAGTATGACGAAGTCAGGCTAGTGTTACGCCCGTTTCACACATACTCCGTTTGCAGTGCGTATGCGGTCCGTATTTTTTTCCGTACCCATGTTAACAGGTTAGAGCTTTCACACTGCACGCGGATGCAGTCCGTCGGTCCGTTCCAGTTGCGGTGCGTATACAGCAGTGCAGAGATCGTTTCCGTACCGAGTCTATTTCTGCTGTGCTGCAAACGCAGAAATAAAGTGACAGCGCTCGGTTCGTGGTCAAAATGAACTCAGATTGACCTCGAAATGTAGTAGTTTCACCATAAATGCATTTAATTCAATAAAATGTAGTAATCTCTCCATAAAGGTATTTAATTGTTTCATATTTTTACTTTAAGACATATTAATATACAAGTAATGCATGGAATTGTATGCATTCGTTGTTTAAATCGTGTTTAAACGAGCATGCGTCCATTCAAGTTTGTAAAAGAGAATCGCAAAGCCATGGCAAAACTTTTATTTTTTAAAAAGTTACTGCATATGGTGAACATATTTTGATTACCAAAAACCAGGACACATGGCCCAGAAAACAAATGATACTCGAAGTTTACTCAAAGATGCCTTATTAATTTCAATACAATTAAAATAGGCTATGCCCCCTCTGTACAGAAAATTGTTGTATTAAGACACAAAATCAGATAGGCTTCTCAGAGGATACTCAACATGTTTTATTATGACAGGTTGGTTTAAAAAATAATGAATGAAATAATGATTAAAAAATAATCTCTCTTCTGTATTAGAAAAATAAATATATCAATATTAATTAACTAAAAGAAATACCTTTAAATTGAACAAAAATACCTCTCACAAACGTACAAAAACGAACTAGTTTCCTTCCTCTTTATCCTGTTTTTCCTCCTCATCCTCCTTGTCTGCTCATCTCCTATATTTTGCTATAAAGCTGATCTTTTACAGCGTTTTTTTTTTGTTTTTTTTTTGAAAACCAATAACAGGACTGTTGGTCACTGGTCACACTATTGCTGCATAACTTCTGATTTTGAAATAAAAATAGCGAGTGTTTGTGGTACAGCTCACGCAATGCAAACGCAGCATATGTGAAAGCACTTTAGCGCGTGCGGCTCCTGTACCGGATACGCACCGCAACACTCACCGCATACGCACTGCAAACGGAGTATGTGTGAAACGGGCGTTACCTGTGAATTTATCCCAATTGAACCTTTGTGCTGATAATGCAATACTAATCGAGCTACAGGAACACTTTCAGCTCAGATGCTTTAGAAATATCTATTTTTTCCGGTATCTTGAATACAGTGATATAAATTTGATGGGTACATAATTGTATTGAATGAAAAACATTACGTACAAAATTATGTAAATGTATTAGATAATTCATTTAATTTGTTTTATATCAACGCAAACTTATCATAAAATGTTAAGGTTTTATGATTGTTTCAAAATCCCAGGCCTAAGGTGTTCACAGACTTTTGTAACATTGTTTTAGGCTACAGTATCTTAACCTTTTTTTTCTTAGACTCCTCATGATTGAGCTCCAAAGCAACCTTGGGATTTTTGAGGGCAAACCTGGACTGCTGCTCTTCAGCTACGATCAAAAGGCTCTAGCTGAAAATAAATTTTATACAGCAGATCTAATGGCCTGGTCCATAATTCACAATGGACCAGGCATTAAGTGCATTAACAAGGAGCTTTTCATGATTATGTGTGGCCAGAAACCAGACCTCACCACATTTGATCATACTAATTTCCTGGAAAATGACCTTGCAGAAAAGCTGGCAAAGGTAAGTTAAGTAATTTTACATGCCACATAATGTAGCTATGTGCTCATTTAAGGAGAACAATGTTTTCACTAACCACTATTCATCAAGTCCACATGTGTTCCTATGATTTTAGGTTGTTGGGTGCAGCTCTCCAGAGGAGCTGACGGAGCTTAAAAACTCCCTGGGGGACTGGATTTGCGACTGTGGGGTACCCAACATTTTCACAGCCTCCTTGAGTAATCTGCCCACAATTTATGGGCAGTTAGTGACCCACTTCATCTATCACAGGTAAATAAATAACACTTACAGTAACTTCTAGCTGCCTCAAATGTCTCCTAAAAAGATGTTGGGTCTCTGCCATTGTAAAGTAATGTCTATATTTAGAGTGGACATGTTGTTCCATACATGCATATGTCAGGTCATTAAATCCCTAAATGTTAGGAAGTAGTGAATGTGGATGAGATTTTCCATTTAACAATAGTCTTTTTGTAAATTTGACATGCTTTCATTGAATGAAAAAGACTTATTTTAACAAGCATTTATTTCATATTAGTATATTATATTTAATAATATACTAATGATTATACCTTGCGATTACTCATCCTGTTGAATATCTAAATATTATCAAAACAGGCCTATTGTCTTCCATGTGATTCTCCTGATTTAAGCCTACGTTACGCTCGGGGTTCAAACTAAAAAGGCTCATTTTGCAACTGTCAACTTAGCTAGCTAGTCTGTACGTTGAAAAAACAAACAAAGCTGCTACAACCATTTACAACCTATATACGTCACTACTACCAGAATGCATTGAGATGTAAATAACTATGGCGGCCTTCGAGTTAATGGATTTTCGGCTTCTTTTAACAAAAACAAAAGAAGATATTTTTGTATCACCTTGTACTGTTTATCTCTGGTCTCCTATTAAGATCAGGATCATCACCTTTTTTAATATTTAAAGGTATCAGGTTTATTACTGAGATGCTGCTTTGACTCTTTGTATTGTAAATAATAGTTGACTTTACAACAGTGATTTTGTAAGTCTTATTATTACTTTTTTTCTGTTCAGAGTGGCAAGTATTATCCAGCAGTTCACTTCTGGGCTGAACTCCTGTGGCCGGTTGTGGGAGGTAGTGCTTAATAATTGGAAAGCTTTCCTCCCCTTGTTTACCAACACTAGAGGTGCCCTAACAAGAAATGAAGTCAGAGACCTCTTCAACATTGTCTGGAGTTCACCAGGGAGCAACAGGGGAGACCTTGAAGAGGAGACTGTCTTCCTCTGGGAATGCTGGCTAATGTTGATTCAAGGTAAGTGTTTCTTTAACTGCACACTGTTTTGTTATGTAATTAGATTTTGCTTCTTGCCTTTTACATTTTCTGTTTTGCAAACTTAAACAGAAGAAGATGTGGGCATATCCTTTGAGGAGTTCCTAGTGTTTGTAACTGCAGCAGATTCTGTCCCTCCACTGGGGTTTCAGCAAAAGTGCCAAGTGGAATTTTATGACCAAGAGGAGCCAACCAGAAGAATTCCTTATGCTTCAACCTGTGCTGACTCTCTACCTACCAAGAGGTGTGTTAGAAGAAGAGGAATTCAAGGAATTAATGTTCCTTGCAATAAAAGGATCTCTCGGATTTGGGAAGGTATAAGCGTCACCTTTCTAAAGGATCGGTTTACTTTCATAATGTTTGCTGATAATTTACTCATCCTGATGTCAGATGAAAGAGAGGGGTTGTAACTGTTGTTGAGAGGGGTTTTATTCTGGTGTAATTGTATTACAGTAATAAATGCTTATGGTCATTCAACAAAAGCTTGACTAATGTTTTGCAAACATCTAAATCTTTAAACAAAAATGATAAAAGTTCTGGTAAATATTTTGGGTCAAGATCTAAATTTGTTTGGTCAAAGATTAAGTAAATTAGAAAACACACTTGGTGTGAGAACTGGGCACTTTTATTTCAGAAGACTAACATTAAGTCACATGACCTTAAATAATGACTATTAAAGTCAGCCGTGAGCAGCAATTATTTGGGTCCATAGAAATGTAAAAATGTGACAATTTCATACACACAAAAAAGGTGGATGTTTTGTATAATGTTTTTGGTGTCAACACGGATTCGTATCAAGAATGCATAAATCATGAATACGAATATAAAAGAGGATGAAAACATGTATATTGGACCATAATCTAATCAAACTTAAAAGGTTAGCGCTGTTTTGTCCATTGAATGAAAGTCAACCATAACATGCAGTCTTAAGTTCTTTATTAGGATTAACTCGTCCTTTTCTTACGATTGATTTTAAAATGTCAAAAAAGACAAAACATTGCGAATTATGTCTAATCCAAGTTCTGCTTGTGCTCCACCAAGTGGATTAAATTGTGCAACAAGTTGCTCCAAGGTTGTGTTATTCACTGTGTAGTGATTCTGTGGTACTGGCACTCCGTCTGGCCAGTCAAAATTTGCTGCCCCCTGCATTCTTGATGTCGTTTCTCCTTGTTCAGATGGTCCGTGAACAACAATTAAATCTGCTGGCCCAGCTGTTCTGCCACTGATTTCTTGCATCACTGTGGTTCTATGTCCTTGTTGTCCCAGGCAGCCTCGGACAAAAATCTGTATTGGGGACTGATGTCTTTCAGTTCTCAGGCCATGGTTGTTCCATTGTTGAATGAATGCTGTCAAGTCCCTGTTATCTGTGTTAAGTAGACATAATGATGATGCATTTCATTGTCAATGTCCACTATACCTTCACTCTCAAGGAAGTGGAAGAGGTTATAATAGACATTAGTCAATCCCCGCCACATGTCGCCCCAGAGCCTCTCAATACGCTGGTTATGAGTGCTCCTGCCTATGATGGCACTGCCTCTGTCTGAGCCCCTGAAAATGTTCATCACACAGACATCATTATTGTGATACCATGATCTGTTCTGACCCTGGAAGGCACTCCATATCTGGCCACAGCATTCAAAAAGCAATCCATTACAGTGCTGCTCCGGTTGTTGTTTGAGGCATGGAGGAAGACAGAGGCGACTGTATCCATTTATACCACCATGAATGACAATTCTCCATCTAAAACATAACAGAGAAACACTATTATAATACAATACGTTAAGAACAAAAAATATATATATACATTACATCTTCCTATTTCAAATATTTTCTTAATGGGAAGTTCATGAATACTTTTTTTATACCATGGTCTGGGTGAATACTCGATTCTGATTGGCTGCAGGGTGTCCGTTAAAAAGTGATAGAGGACACCTAGTAAAGTAGTTCTGGTGAAACTGCCTGTTTACCATTCGAAATTAATAAATAAATGCGCTGCCTACAACGGCTGTGAGTAACCATAGCAACAGACTCACATGCTCTATCATCTAACGTTAGATATTATAGCCTAATACAACAATGAGCGACTTCGTGCTATTTCTTTTAACATTTATGGAGAATATGGCAACTTTGACGACTGGTATGCTGCTGAAGAAAGAAAAAATGTAAATAAAACGGAGAAAATTACACCGCTGCTGCTCTGCTCCATTGAACTCTATTGGTAACGACGTAACTTGCGACCATAGTTGGATAACGATGCTTTCGGGAAACGCACCCCTGAATGAGACCCTGCGGGAGTTTTACGCTGCTGTCCAGACAACCAAGGCAGGAGAAGGCTGAACGTTACAGCGTTTCAAGCCTAAGGAGCCTGAGGCAAATTACCCTCTCTTTGATCTGATTAATTTATTGCCCTCTATAACGTTAAGCGCAAATCGCTGGAGCTCAGAGCTAATTGTTTTTTTTATTGTTGTTTGATTAATTGTTTTATGAGTAATAAAAAAAAACTAAAAAAAAACTATGCCTACCTTTGTGTTTCATGAAAAAAAAAAAAATGCATTTGTGAACCTGAAGGGATACGAGCTAAGCGGACTATATATATCTCCGGTTGCTAAATAAACAGTCAGGCAGGCAAGGCAAGTTATTATTTGTAAAAACTAGATTTAGCCTAATTAAAATATAAACTAATGTTTTATTTGGCAAGTGACCATGGTATAAGCGGGTTAATGCCCTCCGAGGTGTCCATTGTCAGGTTTTAATGGACTTCGGCGGAGGCAACCGTCCTCCGCTGTGCGTCGGCTGGTTTACGCCTCGCCGTCGTCCATTAAAACCTGACAATGGACACCTCGTCGGGCATTAACCCTTACATAATTTACACACTTTATTAAAAGTAACATGTATAATACAAAAAAGCAGAACCATGTAACCTGTATATCTACCTTATCAATTTGTGGTTGCCATCAAGGTGCCAAAAGGAGTTTGGTCCAGCTACACTGTACAATCACCAATGTGCTCTTTGTGACATTGCTCTTAGAGCTGCAGCACTGGGGTTGATTGGTATTAAAGTCTTTCTCGCTCTGTCTCTGCACCCGTACTCCACCTGCTCGTAACTGTGCCCTGACAGCCTCAGACCCAAGCTGGTCATTCCCAGCCACAATGTCTTTGATCATGTCATCGAGGGCATCAGTTACATCAGAATATGTCACAGACCAATTCAAATTGAACTTCCTGAAACAAACAATTCAAACATAACTTGTTTATTATCAAGATAATTCTAAAGATGTTCTTGTAGCTCAAGTAGTAGAGCATGGCACTACAGAAATGCAAGTTTGATACCCAGGGAATGCATGAATTAAAAAGAAATGCATGAGTTAAATGCAAATGAATAAATGTAAATACAATGCTCACTTCATGTGCATCAAATAGTTTAAAACGAAATTTGCCTACATCTTGATGTAACTTACTTTATGCATTGTTTGACTGTAGCCAAAGTCACTTGCAGAATCTCAGGTATTGAACTAAGAAAAACCACACGAGGAAAGAAAAGGAAGTTGCTCTCTGGTGAGGTTCTAATGGGGCGCTTGTCTGCCTCCACTACAAGTAAGTGGAGCCTGATAACTGGAACTGGCTGCAACAATATTAACAACAAGGATAAATACATTTTAATCTGATCAAGTCACAAAGTGGTTGATATAGAAACATAAAATAAGGGGAATTTTATGTTTTCCATAAAACTTTAAATGTAATGTATTTAAAATGCATGAAATGCTCTTTAATGTGATAAGAAAGTCTCGTCAGAACAGTTACTGTACCATGTCTGTCCACTATGTAGATTAGTGATTTTTACTACAAAAATAAAAAAATGAAGACTATTTAACGTAGTACTTAGCTTCCATAAAAAAATGTAAATAAAACAAAGATTATATCAGTAGGCCTAACTGAAGATAATAATTTATTGTAGGCTTAGGCTATAATGAAATACATTCTATTAAATAATAATGCAAAGATGTTTAATGTTGTACTTGTTCATGCTGCCTACATGCGTTTACTTCTGCAATATATTCTGCTAACGTCATGTCACGGAGTAAAAGATCCGCTGCCGGCACATTGATCAGCCTTCTCTGCAAACTCTTCAAACTTCTCTGCATTGTTTCCATTGTTGTTTGTGGGTTAATGAATGACACTAATTTATGTTTGCTTTACACTTATAGTTTTCATTCTTGTTTTGCATTAAATACTGGTAAATGTAATATGAATTGTTGAGGAAATAGTCTAAAATACATGTTGATAATGTTTGTAACTAGTTTTTACTGGTATTTTAAAAGTAATATGGAACTAACACACCAGAGCGCTTTATCTTGATTTTTTCTTATTTTATTTCTCTCAACAACTTTATACTTGTAGCCTACTCAGATGCGATAAATAACATAACTGAGCTTTGTTAAAAAGTGCATAGGCCTGGTCCTACACAAAATAATTATAATATGTTCATTACCAAGCCACACGCTAACTTTAATCACTGTTATAGGCTAAGCATAGGTATATACAATGTGTGTTATACATTTTGGTTTAGATGAAGACCTATGATGACCTGTACACCAATCACACCAATCTCGTAGTATGGGCATTGATAAGCAGCGGAAGATATTTTACACAATAATTGCTTTATGTTTGAAAGCAATCCTTACCTAAAGTTGACTGAATCACATTAGGTCCAGCTCCTATGTTAATGATGAATGATCCGTGCTGAATTGGTCTGGTCTGACCAGGGGCGCAACTACCCAGTTTCAGAGGGGTATGCAGCAACAATTTTAGTGCCCCCCCCCCCAATAAAAAAAAAAGGAAAAATAAATTTAATGCAAGTGTGCTGTGTAATAAGTGAGTAGGAAGAAATGCGAGCTAACAGAAAAAATAAGTGCAAAATTGTTGTTTATTAACACAATTAAACTATAGCTACTCCACCTTGATGAACCCCCCTGCAGAAAATTATAAGCTCCATTGGAACAGCAATACCAGTGTTTCTCACAGGATTTTTGGTAAAACTGTGGTAGGTGGACCTCTATTTCTCTAGGGGGGTTGGGGGGCATGCTCCCCCGTAAGAAAATTTTGTGTTCTGTAATGTTAAATTCAGCAGTCTGGTGCACTTTGAGAGTTCAAAATTAAAAGCTCCAACCCATATTCAGGGTGCAAATTAAACAAAGAAAAATGTGAACCTCTTTTAGTTAGTGTCTGTCTACATTACACTACTACATAATAATAGTTATAATATTAATCCCAAACGGGCTCTAATCCCATGATAGTAATAGCCATAAAGGCTATTGTAAAACAAATACACAGAAAAATAAAGGAAACTTTCATAATTAGTTTTGCACTAATTTCTGTACTTGAAAGATATAAGCGCATAATGACATGTTTCATGGGCCAGTGTGTCAGAAAAAAAAAACTAAAGCTGACTTTTTTTGACCAATGCATTACACCAACACAGCGCCGCCAATTAAGCAAAAAAACAAACAACAAACAAATGGGCCGCCGATGTATGAGTTTTTTGGGCCGTTAAGACAAATAAATTAAAAAAGGATGAAATGTATTGGCTGAAAAGCACGTCGGCCCAGCGGGAATCTCCCGGTAGTCCCGATGGCCACAGAGATATACTTGTCACGGGTGCGGGTTCAGGCAGAAGGAACGAACAGGCAGAGTCCAGAAAGCTCCAATACAAAAGGTTTTAATCATAAATCACAGGATACAGGCAGGCGGAACACAGGGTGACATTAACAACGACCGACAACCATTGAGTAAAACAGAGGGAACTAAATACACAGAATAATCAAACATAATGGGGTGAGAACAGGTGAAACAGATGACGATGACGAGGAACAGGTGGCTGATGAGGGAGTGAACACGGGATAGGGTGACGAGAGGATCCTGGGAAGTGTAGTGCTGAAGACAAGACAGACTGGTGCAGACGGAGGA